CCAATTTCAAGCATAGCTACCATAGAGAATTAATTACCTGATGCTTGCTGCGAAATCCTCAAAATCCTCTGCTGATGTCGTCTACTTTACATTGTCCCTGAACTCGAGTAAAAAACAACTATTGGTAAAGGGGAAGTTGACTTTTGGTTCCATATCTCTTGAAATTATTCAATCTTATCTTTGATTCAAGATGCAAAGGAATCATCGGTTTGGTTATTTGAAGCGTGTAATGGACATCAATGTTCTTCTCTTGTTAGGTTTTGAAATATGAATGAGCGGTGAACTATCAACTTGGGTTGAGTGTATGTTTCGATGGCTTGTCTTTTCTAACTCTCAGGATGGTCTTCCTTAGTTGACTATATCGTTAGACAGAGTACAATCTGGATAACAACGGAAAATTCTGGCCTCCAATAGTAGGAGTTTAAATGATTAGAATTCACTTGAATATTAAACCACAGTATTTAATTTCATAAACAGTATATCATCTGTGAACATGGGTCTTTTATACCTCTGATAGCTCCGTGACAGATGTTTCCATCCTTTTATTTTTGCTATATTCACTTCTGCTCTATAGTTGTTTAGGGCTATCACTTGTTGCATAAGCATGTCCAATTGACCAAACAAGGTTGGTATGACACCTCCTTATTAGCTTTGTAATATTAGGCTACTATATAGACATTACTATTTGTTGGGTGCAAATGTTGAGGTGCAATAAGTGTTTTTATCTTGCAGATGGTTGCTAGTTAGATAAGTGGACACTGACTTCATTTTCCATACTGACAAAAACTATTCGGATTCAGATCGGATCAGGAAACTACCTGGTTATAATCTAATATGACTGAAGTTTTGAATAAAAATTAACTCAACATCATTTGGAAGTTCTGTTTCAGAATGTTATCATGAGGTGCTGTATATTAGCAGGTTGACTATGGATATTCTTTCACTAAATGCAGGTTGCAACTGGTCAAGTTGCAAGCACCGGAATTGTTGCACTGACCTATGTTCAGAAAGTATCTGAGAAGGTGAAAGTTTTTGCAACTGTAGACAAACTTTTATTGTGATATCAGCTTATGTTATTAATACTTCTACTGATGTGACGATTTCTGTGCAGGTGTCTCTTGCATCAGATTTCATGTACAATCACATGACAAGAGATGCTACTGCAAGCTTTGGCTATGATTACATTCTAAGACAGGTTACTGATGTTGCCTATAAGTTGTATCTTTCTTTTAGTCATTTTCATATTTGATGCAATATATGTGACCCCACAAACATACGCGCACACGCGCGCGCACACGTTATAATATATGCATCAATAGCTTGAGAATTTTTGTGTTTTTTAGTCTTAATTTAGTTTTAGTTTTCTATTTTGCCCTTATACTGTCTTCTATCTCAAATTTTCTCTTTAGTGTTCTTTAATATAACCCCCCCACCTCCCGCGGGAATTCTTAATTATTTTGTATACCCTCTTGAAATGTCCTCTTTACGTGCTGCAAATTATATCATATATCTTCCAATCTGCAAATATTTGGTAGTGAATATTCTCAAGGATAACATCACCTTTCTGACTAGCGCTTCAATTGCAGTGTCGTTTAAGGGGGAAAATCGATTCAAATGGTTGCATAGCTGCATTTTTGGAAGAGAGATTAAATATGGGAGTGAATTTCATCCTTTCTGCAGAGGTTAGCATGACATGTTTATTTTATCGCATTGGGCTTTGAAAGTTGCTACTGAATTTGATGTAATTATGCAGGTTGATCATCGGAAGAAAGATTATAAGTTTGGTTTTGGTTTGGTTGTTGGTGAATAAGCTTCTCTCTGTAACTTCTTTCCTTCTGAAGATGGAACTATTGGATTTCTAGTGCAACTCTCACTGTGGGCTGTTGTGGAATTAGACTGGGTTTCTTAATTGCATCACTCCTTTAGTCATCAAGTTATGCTGCAGTTTTAGGTGAAAGTGGAGTTTTTTTTTTTTTTTTGACTTTGTATTTCTCTCGAGCTGATTTAAATATATTGCATGCGGCGTACAGTAGTAATATGGCATTTGAAAGCCATGAATTTTTTATTCTCTCTCTATAGTGCTGATGGAACAATTGGTTCTATTATGATCCTTTGGAAGAATGTACCACAATAATGTCAGATGCTTCATGCTGCGGTTGTACTTCTGCGGTGTTCTTGTTTCCTTTCTTTGTAGGTGTATTCGACATTGTTCTGTATCCAAGCAAAATTTTACTTTGATGTGAATCAGCGGAATAGTGAAACTGCTTCGGTTGGTGATATGAGCTATTTTGTTTAATGTCAACTAACAGATCTACAAAGTTGCTAAGGTTCTCTTGTACCGAAGGACGGAAAAGTAAAATAGAATCAGAAACCTCACTTTATTATTTTTTGCGTTGATAATGTAATGTCCTTGTTCCACTCTCAGGTTAGTGTAGGAACTCAAGTGCTCAGCTCAATTCGGAATCATATAGGACTTAAATCAGTTATAGGTTTCCCATTGTTTTAAGTGAAGTATAGTATAGCCGTCACCAGTTTGAATTGAAATCTTGGTCTAAGGCTAATCTTGTTGATATTTGGAGAGAAAAGAGATTATTGGAGAAATTACTCCCCTCACTCTATACTATTTATAGTGATGGACTAATTACAAGTTAGTCTCACAAGCAATGTGAGACTAAACTAATACTCTTTTCTACTCTCTTCTAACACTCTTCCTCAAGTTGGAGTATATATATCATGCATGTCCAGCTTGTCACAAATAAAATCAACCCGTGTTCGATCAAGTGGTTTTGTAAGGATGTCTGCCAACTGATCTATTGTCGATACATATTTTGACGTGATGATTTTATCCTCGAGCTTCTTGCGGACTACATGACAATGGACTTCAATGTGCTTGGTTCTATCATGAAACGATTCTCAGCAATGTGAATTGTTGCTTTATTGTCGCCATCTAGATCCATGAGACATTCTTGAGGGAGACCAATTTCTGTCAATAGGTCTCTGATCCAAATCATCTCTAGTGTCACATTTGCCATAGCTCTGTATTTTGATTCTGCACTGGATCGAGATACAACACTTTGCTTTTTTTACTTTTCCATAACACCAGATTTCCTCCGAGAAAAACACAATATCCAGTAGTCGATCTCCTATCAAAAGGACATCAAGCCCAATCTGCATCAGAGAAGCCTGTAACTCTGGTGTGTCCTTGATCTGAGTAGAGAATTCCTCGTCCTGAAGCCTTCTTCAAGTACCTCAAAATTCTCATTATTGCATCCAAGTGAGTAGTCCTAGGTGCAGACAAGAACTAACTCACAACACTGACTGCGAATGTGATGTTAGGTCTGGTCACTTTCAGATAATTCAGTTTTCTCACCAATCTTCTATACTGTCCAATATCTTCAAGAAGCTCCCCTGATCTGATAGTAGTTTTGAGTTCACATCCATTGAAGAATCACTGCTTTTGCATCCTAACATCCCAGCCTCTGAGAGCATATCCAGGACGTACTTTCTTTGTGACAGAAGAATACCCTTCGTTGACTTTGCGACTTCAATGCCTAGAAAGTATTTTAGGAAACCAAGATCTTTGGTTTGGAAATGTGTCTGTAAATGCTTCTTCAGTTTGTCAATACCAGAAGCACCATTCCCTGTAATTACAATGTCATCCACATAGACAACGAGCAGAATTCGTTTCCCATTTTGAAATCGCCAGAAGACAGAGTGATCTTTTTGTGCACGACAAAGCCTAAATTCCTGAATAACCGATGCAAAATGATCAAACCAGGCTCTCGGAGACTGCTTCAGACCATAAAGTGATTTCTTCAGCCTACACACCTTCGTATTTTTCCCCTGAACAACAAATCCTGGTGGTTGCCCCATGTAAACCTCCTCATCTAGAATACCATTAAGAAATGCATTCTTGATGTCCAACTGATGAAGCGGCCAATGATTTACCGCTGCTAATGAAATAAAAATCCGAACAGATGTCATTTTTATCACTAGAGAGAAGGTATCTACATAATCCAAGCTATACACCTGTGAATAGCCTTTAGCAATCAGTCGGGCTTTCAGCCATGCTAAAGTTCCATAAGGATTCAACTTGATAGTGTACACCCACTTGCAGTTGACAAACCACTTTCCTAGTGGAAGTGGAACCAAATCCCAAGTCTCATTCTGTCGCAAGACCCTCATTTCTTCTTGCGTCGCTTGGTGCCAACCTGGAATAGATATGCCTTCTAACACATTATTGGGAACCAAATATGAGTCGTGGGAAGTAACAAAAGATCGAAAGGAGGAGAATAGGCGATAATAGGAGACAAAGTTAGAAATAGGATTTTGAGTATAAGTTCGTGTCCCTTTTCGAAGTGCAATAGGAAGGTCGTCCATAGAAGGGGATAAATGTGCACTTACAGATTCAGGTTCTTTAGCCGGAGGACGTGATGCTGAGGCCGACGTTGGCACAGGAGTAGGAGCAGAGCGACGATGATAAACTTGAATTGGGTCGTTATACCGTACTGAGTGTTTGCCAGTAGCGTAAATAGTATTGTCAGCGGATGAACCACCACCGATAACTAGTGACTCTTGTAGGATCAAATAGAGATACTCATCTGGTGATAATAGAGATGGAGAACTAGAATGACCAGGGTTATCTTCGAAGAAGGTTACATTAGTAGAGAACACAAGGTGATTGAGTGATGAACAAAAACACTTGTAACCTTTATGCTTTCAGGAATAGCCAAGAAAAATGCCTTTAAGAGACCGAGAGTCAAAATTTTGTTTATTTAGATTGTAATTATGAACAAAGCATAGAGAGCCAAAAATCTTTGGAGGTAGCGGAAAGAGATCATCGTTGGGGTATAGAATCTTAAAAGGAATTTTATCTTGCAGAACAGAAGAAGGAATTTGATTAATCAAGTAACATGCTGTTAAGATAGCTTCCCCCCAAAATTCTTTGGGAATGTGGCGATGAAACAACAAGGTCCGAGCAATATCAAGGAGATTCTATTCTTGCGTTCAGCAACTCTATTTTGCTGAGGAGTGTAAACATAAAAAGACCGATGGAGAATCCCATGTTATTCAAGAAAACTAGTGAAGTTACTATCCAAATATTCTTTTGCATTATCAGATCGAATTTTTTTTATCGAAGACTTGAATTAATTGACTATTTCAGAATAAAAGAGTTTAAATGTGGAAAAGACTTCAAATCTATACTTGAGAAGATAAATCCAGGTAGCACGAGAGTGATCATCCACAAAACTAACAAAATACCGAAACCCCAATTTAGAAGTTATTGGGCATATGACCCGCATACATCAGAATGAACATGATCAAATGGCTTAGCAGCCCTCTTATTGACTCGATTAGGATAAGACACACGATGGTGTTTTCTAAGTTGACACGTCTCACACTCTAATGAGGAAAGAGATTTGAACTGGGGATGAAGCAGCTTGAGAATATAGAGAGAGGGATGTCCTAACTGACAGTGATATTGTAGGGTGATAAACACGTAAAATATGCATTATCTTAGTGTGTTTCAAGCATGATTTACGAGCGTTTGATGCATATTTCGTGTTTAGATCGAGGATACTGCTGTTGTTTGTGTTCTTATATGTAGGTATTGGCTCAAGATTGAAAGATTTGATGATCGTTGGAAGTTTTACAAGAGTTTGAAGCAATAACAAGATTTTGAAGGCATGGTTCGTGAAGAAAATGAATGCACGAGTATGAAGAACTGGAATTTCGACCATGATGTAATTTGAATCAAGAAAAACTCAAAAGATAAAAGTTGTAGATCTCTTCAACAGGATTCCAATGCAACTTGAATCACCTCATTCCGAGGTCGGACGCAAAAGTTATAGTCAAAATACCGAAGAATATACAGATAAGCACGAAATCAGCAAAACAGCCCCTACCATACCCTGGTGTGGTGCAGACCACACCGGTGGTGCGGGAATTAGTTATTTTCCAGATTTTTGGGGACATATAAATAGATGTTTTGACTTAGGGTTTTGGATATCTTTTGTTATGTTCTTTTAGCCATCAACTAGCAACTATTCTAGGGTTCAAGTATTGAAGGAAGACATTAATCTCTTGTAGAAGATTGGATTGTAAGTTCTTATTTTGAAGATTTCAATTGAAAGACGGGTTAACTCTTTCCTCTCTTTGATTAATTTCTTCTTATGATTGATTTGCATAATTATTTGATGTATTCTCTTATTCCAATCATGTGTGAGTAGATTTCTTGTCTAGGGTTGGGAAAGAACCCAACTTTTTGGTGATTGATGATGAATTAATATATGTTCTTGGTGAAAGTTTAAATCTTTGAACTTGATTTCTAGTGTTTTAATTTTGTTGATTCGCTTGATCACCGTATTAGCAATCATAGGTAATTAATTGAAGGACTGAAAGGTGAAGATTAATACCGGATCTCTAGAAATTAAGCAGGGAGCTCGAACCACGAAAGTAGGCTAGGTTCCTTGGGGATTTGATTTGGGTTAGTATAAAGCTTAATGGGTTTAACTTAATCTTAATTCCACGAAAGTAGGTTAATTGAGATTAATTAGGCACGATCTTTAGACCTTGAGAGAGGCTTTAGATTAATTTAGGCTAATTCACCCTTTCTAGATTAAACCAACACCAAGAATTGAAATAATTCATCATTGAACACCTAAGTTGTGGTGATAACCTAATCCTAGTCCTTCATTATATTGAATTCCATCCGATTAGCTGTTTATTTTATTTCTTTTATTTAATCTCTTCTAATTCACTCATTGATTTAGCTAGTTGAAAACGTGAAACTTGGTAGATAACCCCTAGTCCTTGTGGGATCGACCTTGATAGCTACAACGAGTCCGTGCGCTTGCGGATTTTACCTATCATAGGGCTGATAAGTTGTCGATACATGCCAAATGTTTGGTACCCAATTCCAATTTTTAATGGTTATTCTGCTCACGCCCTGTCCCAATCATTTTCCTCGTGACCAGGTTCTCAAAGACACAATGTGTGAGGAAGAATATCACTGTACAATTTAGAGATTTGGTGATCTTACTAACAGATAATAGATTATAAGGAAAACTAGGAAGATAGAATACAGAGGAGAGAGAGGAAGACTAGGAATAGGATTAGTGTTGCTGAAACCCTAAACAGGTATACGTGAACCATCAGCTAATATAAATGAATTACATGTAGGGCTAAAAGATGTCAAAATACCTTGATTCACAGTCATATGATAAGTGACACCTGTATCTATAATCCAATTATTAGACGAAGACGATGTAAGTA